CCTCCATTTGAATTTAGTTAATTTTGTTCTTGTATGAACAAGATGTTCCACTTTACATGGGAGTGTTGTTGATCAAGTCTTTTTGGTCTCTTCGTTAATGTCGATGTTCTTTATAACTTTCTGGAATTTAAATAAAATTTCGTTACTTCTGACAAACTATTTACATGGAGATTTTCTTAGACTTCTTTCTTATACTTAAAATCTTTCTATGACTCATAATTTTTGTGCAACAAAAATGAAAATTAGAAAAATATGGCACTTTAAGATTTCGAAGGAACCCTTTGCCTTAAGATAAATTGTTCTTGACAATATAGTGTATGTATCGAAAATACAGATATTACTGACCGAAGAACCAAAAGAGATGCTGGTATAATATGGGGTCTCCCCCTCCAGCGGGATCAGAAAAGGTTGTATTAAAGTTTCGATCGGTTAATAACATGGTAATTGTCCCTGCCAGTACCGGAAGTGATAATAAAAGCCGCGCTTGGAAGATTTCTTTCTCAATCATGAATCCGAGCTTACTACTTGAATCACGAAAGGCGCTTTTCTCACTATCTATTCAATTTAAAATGCTCACTTATGAAATCAAGCTAATAAGGCCAAAAACAGAGCCATATGTAAACTTAATAAAATAGTTTAATCCCATGCAAAGCACGGGTAATTTACGAGAAAATGCCATAAATAGTCTCTTAACTATATGAGTAGGTATGAAATGGTTCCTTTACTATATTTTTGTTGGTTTTAGTTCTTTAACTATTCAAAAACTTATCCATTTTGGTCCTTAACTATACACTTACCAGTTTTAGTCCTTTAGTATTCAAAAACTTATCAGTTTTGGTCCTTTAATTATACACTTACCGATTTTAGTCCTTTAAGTATTCAAAAACTTAGGTCTTTGTCCATTTTTTAAATACAAATAGCTTAGGTTTATACCAACGGAACTCTTAGTGAAGTCAAATCTTTAACCCATTTTTAAAGTTGTTTCTCTACCTCCGCTACTTTTTCTTCAAATTATTTTTATGAAAAGAACAATAACCTCAATGATTCAAAATAAATTCAACGAGAAAAGAAGATATAAATCCTAATTTTATTCAACGAAAGATAAAATCAAGCATATAATTATTGCTAGTGACTTCAATAGTTGTGTTCCCTTCTTTGGCGATTTTCAGTTCATAATCAACGCGAATTTTTTTAATTCTATTTTTCATACAAAAGAAAAATAAGAGATTTGATCTTATTATGCAAATTTCTATACGTAAAATAATATGAATATAATAATAAAATCAATCCATTTTAAAAAAAAAAACTAAAAAAGTTGTATATCTACCATTTTATAAGTTTCAACTTGTGAAAAATTAAACAAATTCCCTTCAATGAAGTCATTGGAGTAAATTTTTTGAATTCAATGGGTAATAATTTTTTTCTTTTTATAGTAAAATTTAGCATATTGAAGTCATTATAGCAATAATATGCCACATTTTATCGTCCGTTGAATGAAATTATGACTTATATTTTTTATCTCCGTGAATTTTATTTTGAATCGTTGAGTTAAGGTTCTTTGCATAAGGGTAATTTGAAGTAAAAGTAGCAGGGAGAGTGAAACAACTGGAAAAATGGCTAAATGATTTAATTTCTCAAGACATGAATTTCATTAATATAAACTTAAGCTATTTGTATAAAAAATGGACAAAAATCAAACCTGATAAATTTTTAAATACTTAAAGGACTAAAACCGATAAATGTATAGTTTAGGGACTAAAACCAATCGATGTATAATTGATAGACTAGTTGAAAGACTGAATCGGACAAAAGTATAATTAATGGACCATTTTACGCCTACTCTCCTATAGTTAAAATACTATTTATGGCATTTTCTCCATAATTTACCTAGAAAGTAAAGTAATATTGAATGAATGTAGATAAGTTTTTGTTTGATCATCTCATAATAACTTAGGATCCTTAAAAAAGATTTGTACTTGAATATTATATATGTACATAAAATTTCAAAAGTAAAAAGTTGTTATTTTACCAAAAATGATTCTAAGAGGGGTAGTTTAGTATTGTACAAGATAATTCAAGATTGGTTAGAGTATACACCCAAAGCATTTATTTTTGTGGATTTTACAGATTTTTGAGTGAGACTTTAACAACCCAACAGATCCTTGAACTCACTCCAACATTCATCTGCCCACAAATTAAGGTTTGTTTATCAGATCTCAATATTTTGTGAAATGGGGAAATAATTCAATTTTGTGCTGTTTCGTGGGGTTTTCTTGATTTTTCCTATAAGGGTTCTTTTGTTTGCGTGGCTTGTGTTAGTGATCTGTGGTAAGTTTCTTGCCTTACCCACATTTTCTTTTGGTTGTTTGTTTCTTGGGTTCATTGGTTTTCCTATATTGTTGCTATTGGGGTTCTCCTGTGTATACCCTTTTTTGTAGAGGTACTTCTTAGTTTTATGGTGTATTGTATGTAAATCTTGAGTTCATTAAAAGGGATTCAAGGTGATTGTTTTCTGTTTCTCAGATAGTGGTGCCTAGAGAATTTTGTTTTGCCAACAATGAACTGATATAGCTCAGTCCCTTTTTCTTTCTTCTGTTTTGAATTTGAATTTGAGTTTCTTGGACGGGATGTGGTGGAACTCGGGTTTTGATTTTTATTATTGTACATTGATTGCATCAATGCTGGGTTGTAAGGTATTGTTTACAAGTAGGTATGGGTGGAATTCTTTCGTTCCGGAAGCTTTGCCTTAATTTCTAGGCTTAGTTGCTTTTGCCTTGTGCTATTGTGGGATTGTTGACCCATGAATTGAAAATGCAGTATGTTGTAATTGGAATGAATTTTCATGTTGTAGGAGGTTTTATGAAATTGTTAATTGTAGATGAGAATTGCTTTTCGCTGAAGTGAATTCTGTACTTTTGCTTCATTGAGCAGCTGCGGATTTAACTGTTAAAGGCTTCATTTTTTTCAATTTTCTAATCAAGGGGTGTAAATAGGTTCAGGATTATGTTTCTTTTTAGTTACCCTTTTGTCTTGACAGACGCTATAATCAGATACCAAGGGAGAATATTATTCAGTATCACATGTTCTATGGAGTGCTTTCTTATGAACAGTATGCATATGATTGATTATTTGGGTGCCACTGTTAGAATCTTTTTGAGCAGAGGGTATAATGGAAACAACGTCTTTACGATGTGATTAAATCATAGACTCAAGACATATTTTCTATCATATTAAAGTATACGTCATCTGTGTCTGTGGTCTATGACAAATTGTTTTACTTCAGAGGGAAATGAATGAAATAATCTGTTTTTGACAGGTTTTGTATAGTTGGAATTTGGTAATGTCTTCTTGAGTTATCTGTTGATTTCTTGCTTTTCTTTTGGTGGGTTTTTGAAGCAAGATAGCTTTTGAGCTTCTGATTCATCCAAAGAAAAACAAAGGGCACCTCATATAACTTTTTATTGTCCCTTATTCTTGATATAGCCCTGGTAGTAGCACCTTTTCTTTTTTGTTGGTAACAAGAAGGAATATAATGATTTTCGACTTTTAAATTCCAAATTTGGAAGACGGTTACATAACTGGACGAGGACAACTAGCAATAATAAGAAATAGTATGTTTTCATATACTGGTAACAGTTAAGGTGCACTTTGTCCATGCATAAATATGAAATACACAAAGCACATTGTTTTGTGGAAGTATGACTCTAGAAAAAAGTTAATGCTGTAAATGTATTACTGTTACACATCTAGAATGTCTCAGTCATGCTTATAGTTCTATTTCTTTTCTTTATTAAGATGCGTAGTGGACCTTTTATTCCAGTTTCTTTATCAATGGGTTTGTGAGTGTGCCTGTATCCTATTATAGGTATCTCTTGACTTGAGGACTACAATTTTTTGGCTTGACATTTTACTGTCTCTTCATATTAGTTCACATACATTATGACCGGAGCCAAAAAGTTTTCATACTCTGTATTAAGATCGTAGGCTGAAATTGCTAGTAAAATGATTGGTTAGTTTTGGAGCTGGCAACTAATCATATACTGAAAGAATGATGTTAAAGAATGGTTGTAAAGCAAAAAGAAGTACTCTTAGTGGTAATTAGTATGACTTAATTCAGGTTGATAAGACGCTAAGTTTCAATAGATCTGATTTCTTTTGGGCCAATTAAGGTTGATTCAACTTCTTACATCTGTATGGACTGATTCAGAAAATTGGAAGTTTAATTTGGTCACTTCAGGAATTAGAGAGACTGAGAGAGAGCTTTATGTTGTGTTCATATTTCGTAATGCATTTTATTCAGTCACCTTGTGAGAAGACGCTGTAGAAGGTCTTGATAAAAAAAAGAAGCTGTAGAAGGAATAGGAGAAGCAGTCTCTACGTATTTTATTGATTTTTGAAATAAATGCTCATTTTCCTAGGATAGTTGTCTACTAGTCGAAAGGTTGAGCAGTTAATTGTAAGCACTCTATGGGGCACTTTTAATAGCCTGCATCTTCGTAGTCATAATACAAATATGGTGGCACAACACTCTTCAGTCCTATGTCTTGTTTCGTTTCTCCAAAATTTTATATGAGGTTTGGATTGTATACGATTTGTTAAGTCAATTTGGCACTGGAAAATGTTTGTACTAATGGATGCTTATTAGAATAGAACACTTACTTTCATGAGTTTCCCTAGTATGTTAGTAATTTGTGACCCTGCATGTCTGGGGAAACAAGTTCTTTGTTTTTTGGCGTAGGATGAGCTTGTGTTCGATGTGGTTGTTGCTAGCTTGTACTGTAATTATTTGGTGAAATTGCAACATGGTTTGTTATATTGGCAAAAGTTGAAAATGTTGCATGTCACCAAAAGTTTTAAGGATTTCTACTAGCAATCATCGCATGTGCATAAATTGATTTATGGTTTCTACACTTCCTTTCCTATCATTGCAACCACAGCATATCACACACAGACACATTTTTTCTCCATATTTTCCTTTGCCATGGACCTTATGTTCTTTGAATTTCCTGGAATGTATCATTGCAGCAAACCGTTTTCACATCTTGAGGCTGCTCAAAGTGAAACATGAGTCTGGCATGTCTGGTGTGCCATAGTGTTGAAAGCCCATCACAGTCCTTCAGAAGTTACTCTGTTTCAAGTTCAGACAATGACGGAAGATGTTCAGCGATTGCCAATTGTTTGATCAAGAAGATATCACTTGGCCACCCCGCTGCAAATGGTGGCATCACAACCTCTAAAGTGACCCCTCAGCCTACTGATACGAGTAATGGCATAACAGGCCCCCCACGGCTTGTCAGAAGCCGTGCTGTGAGGAGGGATATAGTCAGAGACTGGAACTTTGATGAGGTTGCGTTGGAGCGTTAGTCCAGTAACTGCTGGAATGTAGGTGCAGAAGAGACATTATGCTTGCCTTTTAGTGTTAAATCAGATAGAATTTTGAATGCAGTACTTTGAATCTAGTTTTGGGTGCAAATGTCACACTACGGAGGATTTCTATATAAATTATCTGTTGATATTCCCTTTCCTTCTTCCTTTTCATTTTATATGCCAGTGTTTTGGCCAGATATTGAGTTTTATTAATTCCTAGAACTGAAAGAGAATAATAGAGCAACTTTGACAGAAAAATAATCCTATCAAAGTTTAAAGATTGACATGCTAAATTAGTATGAGACCTATTATGATATTTACTTATTGGTTATTGATCGTTATCAACTTAACCATTAAGATTTGACCCAAAAAATATCATTGAAAATCACTTAGAAACAAGGTGACAAACCAAATCAACCATGCACATGAGTTAACATATTGCATTTTGATCTAAAGCAAACACTGTCACATTGTAGAATAACCAAGAGTAGGATTGTTCATGGTTATGATTAAAAAATCAAATTGAACCGCAATCTCAACCAACCGATTAAAAAACCGATATTTGGTTTGGTTTGATTTTAAATTTTGAAAACCGATAATAATTGGTTTGGTTTTTGATTTTACTAAAAAAACAACCAAACCGAACTGATAAATTAGATATATAAATTTTTATAATTATTTAGATATTACTCATAAATAAAATATAAATATTTTGTTAAATTTTAATTAACCTAAGTCTTTAACTTTATCATTTTCTCAAATCACAACACTTTAGCCCAACTATAACAATCCTAATTTAAGTCCATCAAAATCCATTTGTCTTTACCTATCCTACTTCACATAAAATAATCACACTTTCTCTTAATTAAATCACTTTGTTCGTGTAATGATAACTCTAGTATTGTTTAATTGCTTAATTGAACCGACAGTAACTTTTCTGTGGATTGTTCATGTACTAGGTGTTTGTGTCTATCGAGATACGTACGTCCTCAAAAAAATCTATTACTTTCAAACCGAATAAACCAAAAAAACTGAACCAAACCAATAATAACCAAATCGACGGTTATTTTTTTTTTTGTTTGGTTTGATTTTGTTTTAGAAATTTATAAAACCGACTATATTGGTTTGATTTTGATTTTAATAAATTACCGATCCAAACCGAACCACGAACACCCCTAACCAATAGTTTGAGACAACCAAAAATAAAATTATGAAACTAAACTCTAAGTTAAGGACTTTATATACAAAATTGTATAAATATTATTGTTTAATTTACTATCGAATTATCGGTTAACTCATTAAGAAAAAACAAACCTCAAACCGTTAAGAATAGATAATCCAATAATAAAAAATTCAAAATTGTTATCGAAATTGCTAAATAAATAACTTTTTTTTTTAATTTAAAGGGAAAAATGATAAATATATCCCGAACTGTCTTAAATGGTATGCAAATACCCTCCGTCATACTTTTGAGACACTGGTGCCCTTGCCATCCAAAAACTAGAGCATATATACCCTTTATACTAACGAACATACACCTGTAATAATCTTATCCACCGACCCGACATTTATTAAATATCGGATCAACGGAGAAGATTACGCCACTTGTCACTATTTAGTCTTCCGTTAGAGTGAAGGGCATATATGCTCTAGTTTTTGGACGAAAGTGGCACCAATGTCCCAAAAGTATGACGGAGGGTATCTGCATACCATTTACGATAGTTCAGGTATATTTATCCTATTTCCCTAATTTAAATTATCGATTTGAGTTCGATTTTGATATGCACTCCCTCCCTCCCTCCCTCCCATCCAGGTTATAACATGCTGTCACTGGAAATACAGATGGACCACTTTAGGTAAGGGGTGATGAAAACATAAATCCAAATCTTTCCACTATTGGTAATATTTCACAAAATCTATGAAAGTTGTGTTTTTTATTGACAAATTTCCACTAGTAGTAGTATTACTTTATCACTGAAGAATAGAAGTGAAAGGATTCACAAAGAAGATGATACCATTGAAGAACACTGCCACCCGTTCATCATGCAGCATCCCATCTCTCTTCATCTCCCTTTCTATACTCTGCATTCTACCAATCTCTCTTTTCTTCTTCCGTTCTTCTCCAACCCCACTTTCCCTAAACCCACAAATCAACCTTCAAACATCTCCCAATTTCATCAAAGTTTACGTACCAAATCTTCCAAGATCTCTAAACTATGGCTTATTGGAAAATTACTGGGATTTAGATTCAGATTCAAGAATTGGGAGTGAAGTAGACAATCAAATAAGAAAGACCCATATAGGAAAAAGTTCCAAGAATTCCCTTCCTTATCCAGAAAACCCAATAATCAAACAGTACAGTGCTGAGTATTGGATCTTGGGGGATTTGATGTCACCTGAAAAATTAAAACTTGGATCTTTTGCGAAAAGGGTGTTTACTGCTGAGGAAGCTGATGTGATTTTTGTTCCTTTTTTTGCGACATTGAGTGCTGAGATGCAACTGATTGTGAATAAGGGTGTGTTCAGGAAGAAAGAGGGAAATGAGGACTATCAGAGACAGAGAATGGTTGTGGATTATTTGAAGCAAACTGAGGCATGGAAACGCTCTGGTGGTCGTGACCATGTGTTTGTTATTACTGGTAAGTGGTATACATCCTTATATGTCATTGCCTTCGAAATGTTCAGCTGCTGTTCATGTCAGTCATTTTTGTTCAAGACATTTTAGCAGTTTTACCCTGCATCTAGTTCTTTTGTTTATGTAGTTGTATCGAAATCAGAGAATTTAGGCGGAAATGGGAATTTATTACTAGTAGAAATCAATACAACAGTAACTACCTTGACTGAGCAAAATGAAGGAGGAAAGATTTGAAGCTAAAACTCCATTAATGAGCTTGAACTCCTCTGTGATTCTCTGAAAGAATTAAGAAGATGAAGGTGAAGATGAGAAAAGATCGAGAGAGAGGAAGGAGTAGAGAGAAGATATTTTGGGTAGTTGGAATTTTTCCAAATTTAGCATAACCCTTTGAGCCAAGTTAATGTGTGTATTTGTGAGAGTGAATAACACTTAAAACTCAAGTGCTTCCCATGTGCCCCAGTAATATTTGGGTTCATGACATCTTTTCCACGGGACAAGTTAGTCGTTCGCTACCTAAACTACTATCCAATCACTAAGTATACATCTGTAGATGATACATTAATTTCTTGAGGAAATTTGAAGTTATAATTCTTTTCTTAATTGGAGATGATTTGAGATAGAAGTTATAGGAAAATTCTAGATTTGGTAGTTGAGTTGGATTGGAAGATACAAGATGCTACTAAAAAGTACAACAAGAATGATTGCAATTTTGATGGAGAAATTTAGAGTTTGCGGTTGTATTGTTCTGGTGCCACGGATCTGAATTAGCAATTTGATGGGGAATTTGTGATTCATCATAACTATGCTCCGGAGTCTGTTAATCTTTTTAGTTACTGTTTTATTGTGCACCGTTACTTGAAAGATTGGACATCGGGTGTTTCTAGATGAAGCTTGTATAGTTCTTTGTTTATGCATGTGTCTTAACGATTATAGAGACTCCTGGTACCATCGGTACCTTATGCAATAGATGGTATTGAGGTAGAATTTGATCTTTTTGCAATTAGGATAACCATTTGTGGAGGGGTTCCATTCTTCTGTATTTCTTAGTTTTTGGTTTTAGTAACTTCCGAAGTGGAAATAATCTGCATATGAAATTAGGTAGTTTTCCTTTTCTTTATTTTTTCCCCCTGAAATAAAAGAAGGAACTGAGCCAGCAAAGTTTTCTGGATATTCTTTTGTAAATGCTCTTCAAATGGCAGCTGAATGGCTTACCCTCTATAGGTGTTTGAGTTGATGGCTAGCTCACTTAGTGAACATCCTTACCGTTCACCAAGTAGGTGGAGGATTCCAACTTCGTATGTAGCATCTCATTCCTCCTTTTCCTTTTGTCCAACGCCTTGTGTTATGGTAAAAAAATTGAGAAAAGACCAGTATAGCTGCTTCAGCATTGTTGGATGAACGGACATCACTCATTCAACTCTAATTGAAGAAATTAAGGGCATAACTGGTGGAACTGGAAATCTGAATTTAATGAAGATGATTGTCAAGAAATAGGTGGATATTAAGCTTAGACTTTCATTTTTTAGCGTAGATTCAATTGGTTGATGTGTTAGACTGCAGCCGCAATGTAATTCATGAATTCTCATATAATACTTATGTTCAGGGGCAGAGGCAGCATATAATATCCGAACCCCCTCAGCGAAAAATATTACTATTTATACATGGTTAAAATTATTTTTTAGGTATGCATAATAGATGTCAAACCCCCTTCCACTAGTTCGTGTGTTTACTTTTCAAATTTTGAACCCCCTTATTAAAATTTCTAGTTCCGCCACTGCTTATGTTGGCTATTGTACACTGTTTGTATATAGTTATATTCTACATTTACTCATGCTTACAACCTTATCAAACAGTCACTGAAAGATGCTGCTAAAAGTTGCTGATTTCTATGCTTGTCGAATCCAACTTGGACTCTTATATCTTGCAACACAACTTAAAATTCTGTATAAAAATCATCCAGATAGTGGCACTTCTGTTATGTAGAGCTTGCCTTTTTACATCATCAGAAGCTTTCGGATAAGAAAGCTGTCCGATTTTAGGTTTGGTTTTTTTAGATTTTACTGGGGAGCAGCTGAGTTATGTAATATATGCTAAGTCGTAACTATGAGCCTAGAAGAGTTTGATCAGACTTAGTAACAACTGTTCAATTTGTCAAATGTACTTATCCTTAAGTGCTTGAATCTTATAAGGCAAACATAATAAGCGGGGCTCTTGGAGACCTTCTTAAGGGCACGTGGATTTGATAGGGATGTGAAGAGTGATTAATTGACCTAGGTGGAGAAGTGGTTCCCCTACTTGCTTTTTGCATAAACGGGTATGCACTTATGGAGATTCTCCAGGTGAATGTCAGTTCATTCTTCATGGCATATATCTGGTGAAGTGCACTACTATTTTGATGGTATTTTGTTGAATGAGCCATATCTTGCTATTTCAGTCTCCTTCTGTTTTCCACCTATATTATTTAATCCAATGCAGTTGTGATCACCGATTAATTATCCTGCAAACATTTTTCATCACACATCCTTTG